TAAATAACCGTTTGTAAATGATTTGTTAATTCAACAAATAAATAAGGAGAATCCTCATCTGTTATATCATCAACTAATGTTGTAACAGATACAGTAAACATTGTTTTAAATGCTCGTGTAATTTCTAAACAAAAAACAAAAAAAAATATTTGTATTGAGAAAAAGATGGAATAAGTATATGTACATATATATTTTAATAATCTGTACATACCTTTACCTTCTTCAATTGAATTAGAAAATTGTTTCACTTCATTTGCATAAAAATTTGCTTCATCTTGTGTTAGTAGCGTATGATTCTTTAACAAGGTTAAACATGATAATACATAAGTGTTATATTATATTCATAAAATAGTCAAGGAATTTATTAAATGATTTTTGTATATGCAATAAATGAAATAACCGACACAAGAGCTGGCGATGCTGCCCATAACAAATCAAAAATTGACAGGTAAATGAAATTTTTTTTCTCAACGATTTTTACAAAAACATTATTAATTTAATTATTTATCTATTTTGTATCAAACAATTTAGGTGGACCAACTGGTTCAGTAAATGTAAATTAAATTCATTTTTAAAGTTATTAACGTAATTATTTTTGTAGGATTTATCAATTAATTATATAACAATTATGTTTATTGTAGACGTTACTAATGATGTCATTATTAGGAGGTAATATAGAAGACGGATTTATTTTTTTAATGTTTTTCATTTTATAAATCGTATTAAAAAAATTTTTTTTTTGTATAGAATCTAATATTATCAATGGCAAAATATTTTGTCCACGTTATAAGATGGAGCAAACCGATACAGGACTCAATTCATCTAATTGGATTATCGAAAATAGTACTGCGTATGTAGCACAACAAGCCTGGCTTCAAAATGCAGCAATTCGTGACAACATTTTATTTGGCCTGCCCTACAATGAGTCTCGTTATAAGCAAGTCATTAAGATGTGTGCATTAGAAAAAGATTTTCGGATTTTTGAAGATGGCGATATGACAGAAATTGGTGAAAAGGGAATAACACTTTCCGGTGGTCAGAAACAACGTTGCTCTTTAGCGAGGTATTAATGATAACAATAATAAATTCCTTATAATGTAAAGGGGATCGATTAATTAATATAAACATATTATTTTATTCCGTTATATTTACAACAGAGCAGTTTATTCAAGAGCTCAGATTATCTTTATAGATGATGTTCTTAGTGCTGTAGATGCTCATACTGCTAAACATCTTATGAACGAATGTATATTAGGACCATTGATGGCGATGATTTAATTTTTCTAGGAACTCTCGTTACACATCACGTTGGATTATGCTTATCTGGTGCTTCTTATCTGGTGCGATTTTTTTAGTAGATTCATAATATACATAGATACCATCTTATTGCTTTTAAAATTTCAAAAAATTAATTGAAATAATTATTCAGGTTGCTATTAATAACGGAAAAATTACGGCATCAAGCAGTATTTCTGATCTGATTAATACTGGTCAATTGGCTACTGTTTTGGAGGAATCGGATAGCCGAGCAGCATATGATGATATTATTGAATTGGCAGCAGAAAATTTTGATAAAGAAAATGCAAATAAAGATTCATCGCGTATAATTGAATTATCAACAGCTTCTTCAACGACAACGACTCTGATAAATGCTGATGCTGGAGATAATAATGAAGAGTCAATACAGCATAATTATAAACCCAAAGTGTTGGTAGAAGAAGAAAGTATGTCAATAAATCATTATTAAAAGTGTTTTTATCACGACATATATTTATTTCTAACATTAATCAATTTGTTTTTAGAACGACCTACAGGCGTTGTTAGATTAAAAATTTACAAAACTTATTTTCGTGCAAATGGGTTCATCATATTT